TAGGCTCCAGAAAGTTACAGAGCGCCAGCTGTTGATGTAATTGTGATGAGTCTGGGGCGGATGGAACTAGAATTTCTCCAAAGGCAAATAAACATTCCAGGCTTCAGACAGCTCTATAGGGAGTGAGTGGCAGGAAGGTCCAAGGGGAGGTACAGGCAATCTGTGCTTGCACATTTAGCAAATACTGAGATGTTCAAGGGCCCCTGGGAGTTCTGGAAATGAGGCAGAAGTCTCAGCCATCAGACAGGTGGAGCTTTAGGAGGAAGACGGCTCTCCCCTGTCATGGGTCTTCTCCCCACCCAGGCTGACAGCACAGGTGGAAGTGAAGAGAGCATTTATGCAGCAAGGTATCCAGCCCCAGCTTCAGACACTCCACTCCAGGCCTGTAAGAAGACACTGGAAACAGAGGCAGAATCAGGAGGTCCACTGCTGAACGTGCCCAGTGGTCATGCCTGGCGGGATCAAGTCTAAAGCTACTACTTGTACCCTGACTGGAGTGCAGTGGCACGATCCCCACTCACTGCAACCTCTACCTTCCAGATTCAAGCAATTTGCCTGCCTCAGCCTCCTCAGAAGCTGAGCCTACAGGCGTGCACCACCACGCCCAGATAAGTTTTGTATTTTAGTAGAGACAGGGTTTCACCTTCTTGGCCAGCCTGGTCCCAAATTCCTGACATCATGTGACCTTCCTGCCTCGGCCTCCCAACATGTGTATGCTTTTTGAAGTCACCGGTCTGCTTGAAAAGGGGATAGAATTTTAAATCTTCTCCCCAGGATAGAGGAGACAGACACAAAACTTCAACACAATGACAAGGGCTTCAAGTGACTCATGAAGTTCCATCCAGGTACCCTTGGGTAAGAACCCTTGAAAAGCACCTACTAAGATAAAAATGAGCCTGGACAACATAGTAAGACCCATCTCCACAAAAAAAACCAGAAAAAAAAATAGAAGGGCATGATGGCACAGGCCTTAGTCCCAGCTACTTGGGAGGCTGAGGTAAGAGGATCGCATGGGCCCAGGGGTTCAAGGCTGCAGTGATCCAGGATCATGCCATTGCATAGAAGATCTTGTGAAAGAGAAAAGTGGGGGAGAGAGAAAAGGGGGGAAGAGAGGGGAAAACACATGGGGGAAAGGGAGGGAAAAGGGTAGGAAGAGGAAAAGAGAGGGAATAGAGGGAGGGAGAGAAAGGAAAGAAAAGAAAAAAGGAAGAAAATAGAAAAGAAATGAGAAAAACATAAACCTTGTGGCCAGGGAATTCCACTGTTAAGAATTTACTCTGCAGAGAGAATGGTGTTCACCACAGAATAATTGTAAGAGAGGAAACCTGGGAAAATCTCAAGAGCACCCCATAATGAAACTAGTTGAATACATTCCATTCCATTGACTATTACATGGTCATTCGTGCTACACGGGAGACACTGATTTTTTTAAGTGATACTTTAACTCCATGTGCTGATTGTATGCACAGGTTATCTCAGAAAGGAATCACCAAAAAACCCCTAACAGTGGTTGGCTTTCAGGAGGGGTGGGAGAGAGGCCTTAAGGCTGCACCAGCATCAACCAATAGAACTTTTTGCAATCAGGACCATGTTTCAGGGCCACCTGCAGCTGTGGAGCACCTGAAATGTGGCCCACACAGCCAAAGAACCAAATCTTTCATTTTCTTTAATGTTAATTCATTTAGATTTTTGTTTTTTTTGAGATGGAGCCTCACTCTGTTGCCCAGGCTGGAGTGAAGCTGCGTGATCTTGGCTCACCACAACCTCTGTCCCCCAGGTTCAAGCAGTTTTCCTGCCTCAGCTTCCCAAGTAGATGGGATTACAGGGGCTCACCACCACATCTGGCTACTTTGTGTGTTTTTAGTAGAGATGGGTTTCACCCTGTTGGTCAGGCTGGTCTCAAATTCCTGGCCTCAGGTGAACCACCTGACTTGGCCTCCCAAAGTGCTGGGACTATAGGCATGAGCGACCATACCCAGCCTCACTTAGACTTCAATTAACACATATGACACTGGCTGCTATATGGGAGCCTCAGTTCTATCCTCTTTCATAGCTTTTGAATTTTGAATCATTTAAATGCATTGCCTATTTTTTTTTAGTTGTAGAACTTAATAGACTAGTATTTAGATTGTATTAATCTAAATGAAATCTACAATAGAATTTAAATTGTACTGGCAAATGCTGATATATAAAAAGATTGCCAAGGTGTGTGTGTGTGTATTAAGTGTGTGTGTGTGTATATATATATATGTATATTTCTTTTATTTATTTATTTTTTTGAGTCAGAGTCTCCCTCTGCCACCCAGTCTGGAATGCAGTAGTTTGAGCCTGGCTCACTGCAACATCCACCTCCAGGGTTCAAGTGGTTCTCCTGCCCAGCTTCCGGAGTCACTGGATTGCAGGCATGCACCACCACGCCCAGCTCATTTTTCTATTTTTAGTAGAGAAGGTGTTACATCATGTTGGCCAGGCTGGTCTTGAACTCCTCACCTCAGGTGATCCACTTGCCTCAGCCTCCCAAAGTGCTGGAATGACAGGCATGAGCCACTGCACCTGGCCTATTTCTATGATTATTACACTGTCATATGTAATGAAATACTTACACAACTCACCATAACGTAGAATCAGTGGGAGCCCTGAGCTTGTTTTCCTGAAAGTAGATGGTCCCTTCTGGGGGTGACGGAGACAGTGGCAGATCAACAGGCAATCGATTATCATAAGAAGCACGCAGCCCAGCTCCCTCACATGTGCTGTTTACAGTAGGGTTTGCCCTCCTATGAGATTCTAACACAGCTGCCACCGATCTGACAGGAGGTGGGGCTCAGGCAATGATGCCAGCAATAGGGAGTGGCTGTGAACACAGATGAAGCCTCCATCGCCCACCCGCTGCTCACCTGCTGTGCTGCCTTCCCAGTTCCTAACCGGTGAGCCAGGCATAGTGGCTCAGGCCTGTAATCCCAGCACATTGAGAGACCGAGGCAGGTGGATCACCTGAGATCGGGAGTTTGAGACCAACCTGACCAACATAGAGGCACCCTGTCTCTACTAGAAATACAAAAATTAGTCTGGTGTGGTGGCTCATACCTGTAATCCCAGCTACTTGGGAGTCTGAGGCAGGAAAGTCGCTTGAATCTGGGAGACAGAGGTTGCAGTGAGCCAAGATCATGCCATTGCATTCCAGCCTGGGCAGCAACAACAGGGAAACTCTGTGTCAAAAAAAAAAAAAAAAAAAAAGGCCGGGCGCAATGGCTCACACTTGTAATCCCAGCACTTTGGCAGAAGGAGGAGGGTGAATCACCTGAAGTAAGGAGTTCAGGACCAGCCTGGCCAACATGGTGAAACCCTGTCTCTACTAAAAATACAAAAATTAGACAGGTGCGGTGGTACATGCGTGTAATCCCAGCTACTCAGAAGGCTGAGGCAGGAGAATTGCTTGAACCTTGGAGGTGGAGGTTACATTGACCCGAGATCACACCACTGCACAGAGTGAGACTTTATCTCAAAAAAAAATCAAAAACAGGCTATAGACTGCTACTGATCCGTGGCCAGGAGGGTTGGGGACCCTGGCTGTAGACAACATGTAATGATCAAAACAGGGTAACTGAGACAGTCATCGCCTCAAATATTTTGTTTTGGGAACACGAAAATCCTTCTCTTCTTCCTATCTTGAAATATTGAAATAAATTCTCCTTCACTGTAATTTCCCTTGTGCACTATTGATTACTGAAACTTACTCCTTCTATCTAGGCCTTCTTGTCTTTCGTTCATTCTTTTTTTAAAATTATTTTTATTTATTTCTGAGACAGTCTCTCTTTCTGCCAGGCTAGAGTCCAGTGGCACGATCTTGACTCACTGCAGCCTCTACCTCTTGGGTGCAGGCAATTCACCCTGCCTCAGCCTCCCGAGTAGCTGGGATTACAGGTGTTCACTACCATTCCTAGCTAACTTTTGTATTTTTAGTAGAGATGGGATTTCACCATGTTGTTCAGGCAGGTCTCGAACTCCTGACCTCAAGCAATCCACCCACCTTGGCCTCCCAAAGTGCTGGGATTACAGGCACGAGCTACAGCACCTGGCCATTCATTCATTCTTACATTCATTCCTTCCACTAATAACTACTGCCTGGTTATCATATATCTGGCAGGGTTCCAGGCTCTGGGGAAACAGCAATGAGCAAAACAAAGGTGCTGCTCTCTTACTGGATTCATCATTGTAATGAAGGGGAAAGACACAGGCGATCCATAAACAAACCATTAACACAGACAGCACATCAGGTGGAGAGCGCTATAAAGAATAAATACTAAAGCAGGTGTGGCGGCTCACACCTGTAATCCCAGCACTGAGGGAGGCTCAGGTGATGGATCCCTTGAGGTTAGGAGTTCAATACCAGCCTGGCCAACATGGTGAAATGCCATCTCTACTAAAAGTATATTAAAAAAAAATGAGCCAGGTGTGGTGGCTCCTGCCTATAATCCTAGCTACTCAGGAGGCTGAGGTGGGAGGATTGCTTGAACTCGGGAGGTGGAGGTTGCAGTGAGCTGACATTGTGCCACTGCACTCCAGCCTGGGGAACAGAGCAAGACTCTGTCTTCAAAAATAAAAGAGAAATAAGGTGCAGATATAGAGCGCACTAGCATGAGCAGGGGTGCTGTGGTGGTAGAGAAGGTGGTCAGGAAAGGCCTCTCTGTGAAGGTGATAGAGCCTGGGGACTCCTGGGGAGAGCAGCAAGGGAGGGCTCCAGGTGTTGGTGTCACTTGTGGTCCTTTTGTTTCTTTTTGTTTTTGAGACAAAGTTTTGCTCTGTCACCCAGGCTGGAGAGAAATGGCACAGTCTCGGCTCACTGCAACCTCCACCACCCGGCTTCAAGCCACCTCAGCCTCCCAAAGAGCTGGGATAACAGGTGTGAGTCACTGTGCCTGGCCTATGTATCAACATTGTTAAATTCTTCTGAAAGCTGTGCTTTAGGCAGGTTGGCCTGACAGCCATCCAAAATAAATTACAGGATGGTAGGACAAGCATCACATCAGTGACAGGGTGGCTGTGGACATCTGCTGGCCAGCAGCAGGGAAGCCACTCAGGCCCCAGATTCTACCTCTGCAGTCCCCCTGCACCTGAACCCTCGTCCCCACATGTAGAAGCCTGGAACTCTCAGAACAGCTGACCTCATCAGCCACTGCCACCTTCAACAGAATGATGTGATTAATTTGTTCATGCAGAAGACAGCAGGAACCCTGAGAGAACAGGATCTAGAATGTGTGGGTTTTGATGGACAGGGTGGTAGGATCTGGGAGGCTCCACTTACCTCACCCCCTGACCCCCACACTCCTTCCCCAGTCCTGCTCAGCATAGAGACTAGAGTGACATTACCAGAGATGTAGACGCTTGGAAGGACACCAGCGACACGGAGAAGAGGCGGCCGGAGGTCCGCAAGGCGCCCAGCTCCTGGCCCCAGATGCCCAGGACTCTGTCCAGAAAGGCTCCTTCCCAGCCACAGAACTTGATAGTCCTCGAGTTCCTGAGGATGGAGCTGCTGAGCCAGGCCCGCGAGTCCTTCTGCCTCATTTGCTCTTCCTGGGATTAGAGGAAAGAGAGAGATGAAGACAGGGCCAGTTCAGAATTCTCCCCTACACCCTGACAGCCAGCCTGCAGCAAATGCCACTGATCTCACCAACTGCGTCCCAAAGCTGTCTGTCTCTCTGCATCTCTGACCCTCAGTCCTGATCCATCACTGTCATCCTGTGTCTGGACTCCTGCAGGAGGTGACCTGGGAGCATTTCCCTGGGGAGGCAGCTTCTGATGCCCAGAGAACAGAGGCTGCCCGAGCCCACCTGGGTATGGCACCATCAGGAAGGCTACCTGGAGGTGGGTAATGCCTGAGCTACATCTTTTCTTCTTCCTTTTACATTTTTGGTGGAGTTGAGGGGGGTCTCACTATGTTGTCCAGGCTGGCCTCAAGCTGTTGGGCTCAAGTGATCCTCTGCCCTCAGTCTCCTGAAGTGTTGGGATTACAGCCTGACCTACAGGTTAAATGACCAGGAGGTGGTTGCTGAGCAGGCAGAGGATGGGAGGATGGAGCTGGGAAAAGGGAGGGGAGGCTTTGAGGCAGGGGGCAGCAAACACCCAGGCACAGGGCTCAGCATGACTCGGAGGACACTGAATGTGGTCAGGGGAGCGCGTGGGCAGGGTCACCTGGCACTTTAGGGTCAGGCAGGAGTTTGGGGTCTCCCGTGCTTCACAGGGGGAGGGGGGCCTCATCAGAAGGCAGGTGCCTGGAGAAGATTTTTTTGTTACTTTTCGAGATGCAGTCTTGCTGTGTTACCAGGCTGGAGTGCAGTGGCGCGATCTCGGCTCACTGTAACCTCCGCCTCCCGTGTTCAAGTGATTCTCCTTGCTGACATTCTGGGGTAGCTGGGATTATAGGTGCCTGCCCCCATGCTCAGCTAATCTTTGTAGTTTTTAATAGAAATACTATTTTGCCATGTTGGCCAGGCTGGTTTTGAACTCCTGACCTCAGGTGATCTGCCTGCCTCAGCCTCCCAAAGTGTTGGGATTACAGGCGTGAGCCACCATGCCTGGAGGAGGCCACACAGGAGGCTGGAGAAACAGTCCAAGTGATAGAGGGACACTGGGACAGCTGGGCCTAGAGAGGAAATAAGTTCCTTCCCTCCCTCTCCTGCCTTTCTTTCCTTTCTTCCCTCCTCCGTTCTTCTGCTCTCCTGCCCTTTCTTTCTTCCCTCTCTTTTTTCCCTTCCCTCCCTCCCTCCTCCCTCTTCCTTCGCTCCCTCATTCCTTCTTTTCCTCTTTCAACTCTTTCCTCCCCTCCCTCCTTTTCACTCCTCCCCTCCCTCCTTTCTCTCCTCCCTCCTTTCTTCTGCAGTTTTCAAACACTTATCCAGCACCTTCTGCATGCCGAGCACTAACTAGATACTGACTCTGCCATGGTGAGTGGCCCGTGCGGCTGCGAAGCCTCCAGCCTGAGGAGAGCCAGGCCATCAGCCCCTGCCGGGCACTTCCTGCAGAGCCCTTTACGAAGTGGAAAGTGCTGGGGAAAAGCAAATACGAAACCAGGGCAGGCCAAGGAGAGGGGCCACTGAGAGGAGAGGGGTGGGCAGGTCATGTCCTTGCTGGACAGTGGTGAGGAAGGCTGCCCTGACTGCAGGGGGTGCTGGAGGGGACAAGGGTCTTCTGGAGTGAGGGTGGTCCAGGCAGAAGGAAGAGCTAAAGCAGAGGCCTGGAGAGATGTGTGAATATCAGGCAGGTGTGAGGATGGGGAAGGGGGGTAGGTGGGGAAGGGAGGGAGATGGGTGGAAGGTGAGGCTGGAGGTGATGAGGCAGCTCAGGGCAGGCCTGGTGGGCCACTGTGGGGCCTTTGGCTCAGACTGAGGAAAATGGGGCCGCTGTGGGTCTCAGCAGAGGAGGGTGCAATAGATTCAGCTTACACAGGTCTTCTGTGGCTGGAAGTGGAGTGAGGCGGGGGCAGAAGTAGGGAGTGAGCCAGGGCCTTGCTGCTGATGCATTGTTGAGGTGACGCCAAGCAAATCTGCTGAGCCATGGGGTGTGGGAGAAAAAGGCATTGAACTGACCCAGGGCCTGGGGCCTGAACACTGGAGGGAGGAGCCACCGTCCATTGTGATGGGGGCAGGTCTGCACAACGGGCAACTCAGAGACAAGAACACAGCCAGACCGGCTGGCTCCCACTCAGCTCTCCCCTCCCCATCGCCCACACAGGACCTGGCTTCCTCCCGACTTCCTGCCTGGTCCCTTTCCCAAAAGCCGAACCTGACTGTGGTTCCTCTTCTTGCTGATGAAGAAATTCAGAGGGAGGAGGCTCAGGAAGACAGGGATGGCGGTGAGGGAGGAAGGGCCCAGGAGCTGGGGAAAGAGGGGACAGGATGTCAGGAGATCCCGTGGAGCCCAGCTGCCAGAGCCGTGTGAACCACAGCAACTCCATCTTGAATAGGAGCTGGTACAATGAGGCCGAGATCTACTGAGCTGCGTTCCCAGGCGGTGAAGGCATTCTAAGTCACAGGTTGAGATAGGAGGTCAGCACAGGATACAGATCACAGAGACCTTGCCGATACAACAGGCTGCAGTAAAGAAGCCAGTCCAAAACCCACCAAAACCAAGATGGCCAGCAGAGTGACCTCTGGTCGTCCTCACTGCTACATTGCCACCAGCGCCATGACAATTTACAAATGCCATGGCAACATCAGAAAGTTGCCCTATATGATCTAAAAAAGGGGAGTCGTGAATAATCTACCCCTCATTCAGCATGTCATGAAGAAATAACCCTAAGGATGGGCACCAGCGCCCTCTGGGCCACTCTATGGGATAACCATTCTATCTTTACTTTCCTAAACACTTGCTTATTTAGGAAAGAATAAACTTGCTCTGTGGCTCACACCTGTAATCCCAGCACTTTGGGAGGCTGAGGCAGGCGGATCACCTGAGGTCAAGAGTTCGAGATCAGCCTGGCCAACATGGTGAAACCCTGTCTCTTCTAAAAACATAAAAATTAGCCGGGTGTGGTGGTAAACACATCTGATCCCAGCTACTCAGTAGGCTGAAGCAGGAAAATCACTTGAACCCGGGAGGTGTAGGTTGTAGTGAGCCAAGATCACACCACTGCCCTCTATGTAGCGTGGGCAACAGAGTGAGACTCCATCTCAAAAACCAACCAAACAAACAAAAAAAACTGCTTTGACTTTATGGACTCACCCTGAGTTGTTTCTTGCACGAGATCCAAGAACCCTCCCTTGGGGTCTGGATTGCGTCCCCTTTCCTGTAACACAGCGTAACACAGCTGCAGATCCTGAAGGAGGTCAGACTTGGGTCCTAAGATGGGGAGTCTGGGAATGTGATAAGGGCAGGGATCTGGGCTCATGCGGGTCTGCTGGGTCCCGAGGCGCCTGCTGAAGACAGATTCCTTCAATGTCAGGGAGGGGAATGGCCCACTTACATCATGGGGAGAGGGTTATATTCAAGACAGAGCATGCATGCACAAGTAGGACTAGGGGATGTTCCTGGCCACAGAGGTGAAGTTGAGACCTCTGGAATCAGGACCGGGTTCAAATCCTGACTGTGAGGCTTATGAGTGTGGCCTTGGGGAAAGTCGCCTCCCTAATGTACAATTCCCTTGTCTGCAAAATGGAAACAGAGTTGTCCTTATTTTGCGTGTTTGCTTATTAAGTTTAATTATTTCCCTAATCTTCATTTTATTACTCTCATGAGGGTTGTCAAACTTAGCAAATCATCATACAGATGCCCAGTTACATTTGAAGATAAAGAGTGAATAAGGTTTTAACCTAAGTCTCGTGCATTCTTTGTGACATACACTAAGATGTTTTTCCGTTTGTCCAAAACTCACACTTCACTGGATGTCCTGGGTTTTCTCTGGCAACCCTCCTCCCCACCAAAGTGGTGCCTTTGGGATACTTACCTTCTGCCTCTCAGCTTTGGTTTCTATGTCTGGAAAATGTGGAAGTGGGTGGTAGAATGATTAAACTGCTGTGACTTTCTGAGAGTCCTTCACAGGTTACTTGAACCCATTCTCTGGCCAAGTCCCACCCCACTCCAGTCTGTGTGCCTCAGTTTCCCCTCTCAATCTTTAGGAATACTAAATTTTTTCCGAGATGGAGTCTCACTCTGTTACCTAGGCTGGAGTGCAGTGTCGTGATCTTGGCTCACTGCAACCTCCGCTTCCCAACCAATGTTCCTGTCTCCGCCTCCCGAGTAGCTGGGATTACAGGTATGCATCACTATGCCTGGCTAATTTTTGCATTTTTAGTAGAGACAGGGTTTCACCATGTTGCCAGGCTGGTCTCGAACTCCTGGCCTCAAGTGATCTACCCACCTCAGCCCTCTAAATGCTGGGATTACAGGTTTGTAATCCAGCTCAAGGTAAATACACCACTGTTTTCTAATCTGGGGCCAGTTTGTTTCATTTATGCTGCAGTCGCGCCACCTGGTGGTTCAATGGAGAAGTGCCCTGAGGGAAAACGGCCCACAGCAGGGGTTGGAAAAACACTCAAAGGAATGTGACAGAAGATGAACATCTCTCTCTGGAGGAAAAATGGCTCATTAAACTGTAGCAACCCAAGTATCCACCCCTCCTTCACAAGGATCTCATGATGATGTTACGAGCTGTCTAACCAGAGGCAGGAAAAGTGCACAGGGAAAGTGATATGGTGCATTACCTGCAGATATCTTGTTGGTCTTGCCTGAATTTTTTCTTTTTGAGGTGGAACCTTGCTCTGTCCCTCAGGCTGGAGTGCAGTGGTGTAATCTCATCTAACTGCAACTTATGCCTCCCAGGTTCAAGTGATTCTCCTGCCTCAGCCTCCTTAGTAGCTGGAATTACAGGTGCCTGCCACCACGCCTGGCTAATTTTTGTATTTTCAGTAGAGACGAGGTTTTGTCACGTCGGCCAGGCTGGTCTCCAACTCCTGACCTCAAGTGATCCACCTGTCTCAGCCTCCTAAACTGCTAAAATTACAGGCATGAGCCACTGCACACAGCCTGGTCTCCTCTGATTTTTAGCAACGATGGGGTCAACCTGATCAATTGCCCTGAATTTTCCCGTGTTCTTCCTCTCCCCCTTTCTTTCTACCTAACAATGACATGTATGCACTGCACATCAAGCACTGTCTGAGCGCCTTGTGTTGTGCTTGCTCAGCATCTGTTACTTGCAAGGCCCTAGAATACAAAGTGAAGGCACTAGAAAAGGTCCTGGCCCCTAGTCTGCAAAAGCAAGCACATGCAGGTGTATTTGATTTTTTTTTTTTTTTTGGAGTATTCAACAATTGTAATCAAAATGCCAGTAACATTTTTTACAAGGTCGAGCATGGTGGCTCACACCCATCATCTCAGCACTTTGGGAGGCTGAGATGGATCATCTGAGGTCAGGAGTTCGAGACCAGCCTGGTCAACATGGTGAAACCTGGTCTCTACTAAAAATACAAAAATTAGCCAGACCCGGTGCTGCATGCCTGTAATCCCAGCTCTTCAGGAGGCTGAGGCTGGAGAATTGTTTGAACTCAGGAGGCAGAGGTTGCAGTGAACTGAGATTGCACTACTGTACTCAGCCTGGGCGATGCCTCAAGACTCGGTCTCAAGAAAACAAAAAACATTTTTTACAATTTTTAGAAAGGGGGTCTTGCTGTGTCTCAGAGCTGGAGTTCAGTGGCGTGATCACAGTTCACTGTAACCTTGAAGTGCTGGGCTCAAGCGATCCTCCTGCCTCAGCCTCCAAAGTACCTAGGATTATAGAACATGCCCAGTTAATTAAAAAAAATTTTTTTTTGTAGAGACAGGATCTCTCTGGTTGGTATGTTGCCCAGGCTAGCCTTGATCTCCTGGCCTCAAGTGATCCTCCCACCTCAGCCTCCATACGCCATTATACCTTAAATGTACCTAGCCAGGGCTCATGCCTGTGATCCCAGCACTTTGGGAAGCCAAGATAGGCAGATCACTTGAGGCCAGGAACTTGAGAGTACCTGGCCAACGTAGTAAAACCCCATCTCTACTAAAATACAAAAAAATTAGCTGGGTGTGGTAGTGCACGCCTGTAATCCCAGCTACTAGGGAGGCTGAGGCACGAGAATTGCTTAAACCTGGGAGGCTGAGGTTGCAGTGACCCGAGATCAGGCCACTCCACCAGCCTGGCCAATAGAGCAAGACTCTGTCTCAAACAAACATCTAGCCAGGGCTCATGGGCTTCATAAAAACCACCTGTTTTTATGAAGCCCATGAGCAGCACAAGAATGTTTATTAGTTTTATATTTTTAAATACTTGAAAAAAATCAGGCTGGACATGGTGGCTCACACCTGCAATCCCAGCATTTTGGGAGGCCGAGGTGGGTGGATCACCTGAGGTCAGGAGTTGGAGACCAGCCGGGACAACATGGCAAAAACCCCATCTCTACTAAAATATAAAAGTTAGCCAGGCCTGGTGACATGCACCTGTAATGCCAGGCTAAAGTGCAGTGGTGCAATCTCGGCTCACTGCAACCTCCACCTCCCAGGCTCAAGCAATTCTCCTGCCTCAGCCCCTTGAGCTGGGACTACAGGTGTGTACCACCACACCTAGCTAATTTTTTTGTATTTTTAGTAGAGATGGAGTTTCACCACATTGGTGAGGATGTTCCCAATCTCCTTACCTCGTGATCCGTCCGCCTCAGCCTCCAAAAGTGCTGGGATTATAGGTATGCACCCCTATGCCTGGCAGAAGGGTGGGGTTTTCTTAAGTTTCTTATTTTTATTTTTTAGACAGGGTCTCACTCTGTCACCCAGGATGGAGTACAATGGCATGCTCTTGGCTCACTGCAAACTCAGCCTCCCGGGATACTCCGGGCTCAGCCTCTCCAGTAGCTGGGACTGCAGGCATGTGCCACCACATCTGGCTAATTCTTGTGTTTTTGGTAGAGATGGGGTTTCACTATGTTAGCCATGATGGCCTCGAACTCCCGACCTCCAGTGATCCTCCCACCTCGGCCTCCAAAAGTGCGGGGGTTACAGACGTGAGCCACTGTGCCTGGCCATGGGTTTTCTTGAACCAAAGCATATTCCTTGTCAAGTTTAACAAAACTGTGCCCCAGCCCTGTGTTTTCCCTGATTCATTCTCCTTCGAATAGCCAACCTCTCAAAAGCTATAAGGAACATGGAAGAGCCACTGGCTGGGTGGGCTGGGTGGTGGCAGAGGGGCTGGGGTCCCAGCAGTTGGCATCTCCTTTCCCAGGATGTACACAGGGCCTCATGTACCGGTCCTGTTACCTCCTAGGTCAGCTTGTCAACACCATCTGGGTGAGAAAAGACCAGACCTTGTTCTCTTCCATATTCGAAGCCAGTATCACCATCCACAACACTGCTGTCATTGAGTACCTGACCTGCTGGTAGCCTAGAAATATTTAGGCCTGGTTTATTAACCATACACCTGCCAGACCCAAACCAGCCAAAACATGAAATCGACCGGGTGCAGTGACTCACACTTGTAATCCCAGCACTTTGGGAGGCTGAGGCGTGTGCATCTCCTGAGGTCAGGAGTTTGAGACCAGCCTGGCCAACATGGTGAAACTCTATCTCCACTAAAAATAAAAAAACCAAGCCAGGTGTGGTGGTGAACACCTGTAATCCCAGCTACCTGGGAGGCTGAGGTGGGAGAATCAATTGAACACAGGAGGCGGAGGTTGCAGTGAGCTGAGATCACACCACTGCACTCCAGCTTGGGCACAGAGCGAGACTCCATCTCAAAAAACAATAACAACAAAAAACCCCACAAAATCAAACCACCTCCCCAACCTTTTTTTTTTTTTTTTTAAGAGACAGGGACTTCCTGTGTTGTCCAGGCTACAGTGCAGTGCTACCATCACAGCTCACTGCAGCCTCTTACTCCGAGGCTCAAGCAATCCTCTCACCATGCCCTCCTACCATGCCCAACTAATTTGTGTGTGTGTGTGTGTGTGTGTGTGTGTGTGTGTGTGTGTGTGTGGAGATGGGATACCGCCATGTTGGCCAGGCTGGCCTCAAACTCTGGGCTTCAAGTGATCCTCCAATCTCAGCCTTCTAAAGTGCTGGGATTACAGGCATGAGCCTCTGTTCCTGGCCAAAACCTATTACACATTCAGGAACGACCGAGGGCATAAGCTTTTGTATCCTTTAACAATGAAATGGATTATTCCTTGGGTATCACTTTGCTGGGGATGCTGTAACAAAGTGCCACAAACTAGGTGGCTTAGAACAAGACAAATTTGTTGTCTCAGGCCAAGCACTGCGGCTCAGGTCTGTAATCCCCATACTTTGGGAGGGTGAGTGAGAGGATCACCTGAGGTCAGGAGAGAGGATCAGCCTCCCAATAGCTGGGATTACAGGCACATGCAACCATGCCAA